GTTAGATTGCCTGAAAATGTTAACGTGTTATGTTTTCTTCTTTTATAGCGAAGAGGTCTGTATTTTATCCGCGTCCGGCACGGCAGCTGTACTGAACCCTAGATTTCTGCAGGATGGCACCGTGGAGGGCTGTTTGGAACAGAGGTTGTCGTGACAGCCTGGCTTGTTTTCCTTAAGGGTGGAGAAGGGAGGGACTGACTGTCTTCTTTTCAGAGCTGGGACGGTTCTTCTCTGTGAGGGCGGGTCTTAGGGGTGCAGCGTAGAAATCAGGACCAGGCACTTTACTGATTTTTCACCTCATCTGTAGCAACAGAGACGTATTGGGTTCTGCACTGCACGATACACACTATTATTTCTAGTATCATGATAAGTGACCCATGTGATTACCAGTTGAAGAGTTTCAGGAATACATTGTTTTGCTTGCTACAATGCAGAAATAATTTTTCTGGTTTGGTTTTTCTCTTCCTTTCCTTTTCCTTTCTCTTACCTCCAAAACAGAAAAAAAGGTTATGAAACAATTTTCTTAAAGAAAATTCTTAATTTACAAAACAATCAAAACACTATGTTGTACGAAAATTATATATAAAGAGCTTCATGGAAAGTGAAATATAACTAATATGTGTGAAAGAGAAAGTAAAAGTGAAAGCATTAGGTAAAGTGAGATTACTTTTTGGTTTATTTGATAATTGTCCCTTTAATCTGTTACCTTCTGTAAATGTCATAAGCACTTCCCATAAAAAGATGAAATGATCAAATTTATGAACAGAAAACTATTAGTTTGGTGCCAGAATTTACCCAAATAATATAAATTTTAAATACTCTTTACCTCAGTGTGCATCATCTGCTTTCTTCCTCCCAGTATTAATGTATTAGTGTGTATTAAGGAAGAAAGCAAAAAAAAAAAAAACCTGCATGTGATCAAATTTAATATAAATTTGCAGATCTCTATATAGGAAAGAAAAATAGTTTAGCTCTGGTAGGCAGACAGAAGACCTGGTCAGTTTCTTCTTTTGTCAGTGTTAAAAACGGATGTCGACCGTAGTATATTTCAGAGCATTAAAAGTCATAGTAAATAGGGAAATGAAGGTGGGAAATTTTGAAGTCTGTTAAGCAACTGGAATATTCTGTTGAGAAAACTGACATTGCCAGTAAGTTGTCCCACTGCCACCATTTGGTGGTCACATATGTCGGTAGATTTCATTCTTCAGGAGATAGAAGCCTCATTTAACAAGTGACTTTTCCCGTGCCGCTTGCTTGTTCTGGTACTGTGGCTTGGATGGACACAGTGAATTCTCTTAAGTGGCAGCCTGATGCAACAGATACCATCCCTGTTTGTCAAAGAGGAAACTTTTTCTTTTCTATTATGAAATTATTGGTGCTTACTAGAGAAACTGAAAAATATAGGAGAGTAGAAGGAAGAAAAAATTCCCTATGATACCAATATTTGGAGAGAGTCCCTTTTGTACCTTCCCTATTTCAAATGCTTTCATAAATTTTAATACTTTAATTTTTTTATGCCTTATGTTATACGACTTTTGTTTGAATTTCTGTCAGGCTTTGAGTTAAAAATGGTCCCATTTTTTGTACCCTTTTGGAACATAGGGGCTTTGGATTCAAACAAAGTGGCATTAAAATCTGAGGTCTGCTACTTAGTACCTAGTGTGACTGAGCACGTTGCATACTATCTCAGGTTGGTTTTAGGCCGAGTGGAACTAGTTTTTGTTGCTCTCTGCCATGCAGTATATTGCAGGGGGTGTGTGTTTGGCTAGTTTTCTTACTTAATCTTCAAAAAAAAAAAAAGAACCTTTCTATAGAGATACATATTGTTGTTCTGGGATGGAAAAGGCTCTGAGAGGTTAAATGGCTTGGTCGGGGTCACACAGCTCCCCAGATCTGTCCGATGGCCCTTTGACTTCTAATAGGCCAGAATACCATCTCAACAAGAAAGGAGTTCTGTCTGGGAGTAACTTAGAAACTTAGAGGATGCCTGCTTTTTTATTGAAGTATAGAGGCTGTGTAATATTATATAAGTTACAGGTATCCGACCTACTGATTCACAGTTTTTAAAGGCTGTGCTCCATTTATAGTTCTTATAAAATATTGGCTGCATTCTCCGTGTTGTACAGCACATCCTTGTAGCTTATTTTATGCCTGTCTTTGACTTACTTTTTTCTTCTTAAATAGATTGGTTTCAACCGTAATGTTTTTCATATTGTTAGGTTGTCTGGTTAAAAAAGATTTTTTTTCCTTTTAGAATTTTTTTGTGTGATTGTATTTGAGTCCTATTTGTCAGACAGTAGGAAGATGTCAGCCTTACGGTCTAGCCATTTGTTTTTATGCTGTATCCCGAAGGAAAAACCTTAGGGATAATCATGGGTTTTGTCAGGTGATAAGTCGTCAGACATAAAAATTGATGCAAAATGACTTTCTACTTATATAAGCTTTTTCTTTCATAGCGAAGTGTATGGTTCTGATTTGGTGGTCATTTCTTACTGGTCATAGTGGTACCTACCGTGGTGGAAGTTGTGGTGTAGCTTGTATGCAAGTACTGTATATATAACATATATTTCTGAAAAAATGTGTACAATTTTCAAGGATGCTTTTTTTTCTTACCATATTTATATAGGCTAGAAGAAAATTTGCCTGCAGGCTGTGGATTTTGCCATATACCATACGATGAACTGAATATGCCATTTCCAGCTCATCTCACCCATTGCTACAACTGCAGGAAACAAAAAGTTCCTGATGTTCTCTTTACAACCATAGACCTGCCAGTGGATGCGACAGTTATAGGAAAAGGTTGTCTCATTCAAGCAAGGTACTTTTTAGAGACAATATTTGGGATCCTTGAGGGAGAATGGGGTATGGAGTCAAATAGACCTATTTTCAGATATCTACTCTGCTGTTTCCTACCTGTGTGTTACTGCTCAGACAGGCTAGGCAGCTCTGTCCAAACCTTGTATTTTCCTGTATGGAAAATTGGGAGGAAAAAAATCCTCTTTATGAAACTCTTAAGTTTTTTATGCAAAAACAATTTTAAACATTGAAATTCTGTACAAGTGTTCATCATTATGAGAATTGTTAATTAACCCATTACAGGCTAAGGATGTGATTCAGGATGCTTTAACAACATTAAATATGTAACACATTTGGAAAATTTGATTTTTTTTTTCCATTTAAAAAACGGTACACTGAAGTGTTTCTTTGACAACTTCACCTAGCTATCAGGAGTTCCTTTTAAAGTGTCCTGGAGTAGGAAATGCTAAACTGTGGTAGGCACACAGGAAACAGCTGTGACTATCCAGGTTACGGATGGCTACCAGGTTACCAAATCCAGTGAGCACTTCTGTCCTCTTTTTACTTGGCATCTCATCAGCAATCCCACAGCTGATCATTTTCTCCTTCTTGAAACTCCTTTGACTTCACTTTGCCACGCCTCCTCTTTCTGCCTACCTGTATGTATAGTTTCCAGTCTCCTTGCTAGTGCCTCCCTGGTGCCTCCTCATTTCTCAGTCCTTGAGAGCCATGGGTCTGGACCCTCTTCTCGAAGCTAGTTGACTTCATCGACTCCTCTAAGTCTGTGTGCTGTCTGTAAGTCTACAACTGCCAAATTTATGGCTCTATTCCAGAGCTTGCTTCTGCGTTTCAGGCCCATACACTTCCCCGTCTACTTCACACCCCATTTTCATAGGCATCTCGTACTTGTTCCAAATTGAACTGCTGATTTTTTTCCACTTCTTTCATATTAGCCTTTTCTATTTTAAGAAACGAGCCCTCGCTCCATCCAGTTCTTCATTCCAAATATGGCATTCTCAGACAGTGTCCTCTTTCCTAACCTACCCACATCAAAGTTACTACAAAGGCATGTTGCATTCTCCTCTAAAATACATTTCTCATCCATTTGCTTTTGCTTTCATTCCCTCTTTCTCCATAGACCTCCATTTAGCACTTCTAGTTTTTCTATTGCCTGAGCTCTCTCAGGTATTTTTTTGGTGGGTCTGCTGGTGGTGAACTGTCTATTTTTGGTTGTCTGAAAATGTGTCTGTTTTATCTTTAAAAGATATTTTGGGCTGGCAGTTATTTTCTTTCAACACAGCAAAGATACCCTTCCACTGCCTTCTAGATTTCATTGTGGCTGTTGAGAAACAGCCTGTTAGACTGACTGTTGTTCCTGTGAGGGTTTTGCCTGTTTTGTTTTCCCCAGGCTGCACGTGAACGGTTCCATTTGCCTTTGGTTTTCTGCAGGTTCCTGTGACCCTGTGAAGTGTCAGGCATGGAGTTCCCTTCATCCTAATTGTTACCCATTGAGCTGCTTGAGTCTGTAGATTGGTGTCTTTCATGTGTTTTAGAAAAAATTTAGATTAGTTCTCCTAGGTTTCAACTCTTCTCTCTTCTTGATACTCCAATTGAAAGTATGTTAGACTTTTTCACCACCTCCTCTATGTCTGTTACTCCTTTGTCTGTATTTTTTATCTTTTGGTTTCTTTATGCTGTATTTTGGATGTTTTCTTATTTATCTTTCAGTTCTTTAATTCTCCCTTCTGTTGTCTTTAATATGCTATTAAGCCTATTAATTGGGGGTTTTAATTTTTGATAGTCTATTTTTTCTGGAAGTTTTCTTTTCTTTAATATCACATACTATATAGTCTGTGATTGATTCTGTAACTGATCGTTTCAGTATCTAAAATTTCTTTGTCTTCTGTTGTTTCTGCTGGTTATTGTTCATTGCATTTTATTTGCTTTGACTCACAGGAAGTTGCAGATTGTACAGGGTCCTTCATCCCCTTCAGCTAGCTCCCCCCATTGGTGACATCTGATTCAGCCGTGGTTGAGTGCCAGCTGGGAAGCTGACATTGTTAATGCTGCTCTTAACTATGCCACAGATCTTATTCAGTTTTTCCATTTTTCAGACTTGCATTCATTTCTGTATTTGTGTATAAATGTATAGATCTGTGCAGTTTTATCCCACAAGTAGAGTTGTGTAAACCGCCACCACATTCAAGAAACAGAACGGTTCCACCACCACGGAAGAACTTCCCTGTGCTGCCTCCTTATAGTTATACCCTACACTTCCCCTTGCCCTGGTCCTGTGATGCTTTTAAGATTTTTAAAAATACATAATTTACCCAGCTTTTTTGGTTTCAGGGAGGAGGGGATTAGTCTTCAGCAGCAGTCCTCAGAGTGTGCCCGCGACCAGTAGCATCACTGTCCTTGGGGGAATGTGTAGAAACGCAAATTCTCAGGCTCTGTGCCAGAACTGCTAAATCAGAAACTGCGGATGGAGCCCAGTAATTATTTTTTAACAAGCCCTCCCGGTGATTCTGATGCAAGCTAAAGTTTGAGGACTCCTGGCCTAAATAGCCTGACTTGCCAGTTCGAGAGTCTTTCCTTCATCTTCACTGCTGCCTTTTCAGTCCAGGCTCACTGTCTCCCACCTAAATAGCCTCTTGTCTACATTCCCACGTCAGTTCTCTCATCTTTACTCCATTCTCTGTGTAGCAGTATAAGTGATGTCCTTAAGTTTCCTTTTCATCATATTACTACTTAAAAACCTAGCTGGGTGTTCCCATTGCTGGCAGAATAAAATCGAACTCCTTACCATGACCCATAAACCCCTAAGGTGATCCCACCTCTGCTTACCTGCACCTCACCTGTGCTGCGCTCACCTCTGCTCCCCTCAACTGAGCTACAGTCATCTCCTTTGGTTCTTCGACTCCATTCTGCCAGCTCCATTCTGTCATCGTCTTTGTCTGGCTCTTCCAGTTCCATCGTGTCTTTACAATCTCAGCCCAGCTGTCG